TCATTTCACTAGGAACGATATATTGCCATTCTACCCCAGTGTTCATTTCACTAGGAACGATATCTCATCATTCTACCCCAGTGATTACTCCACTAGGAACGATATCACATTATTCTACCCCAGTGAGTACGGCCATCACACTATACATCACTAGGAACAACATCATGTTATTCTACCCTAGTGACAACTCCACTAGGAACAACATCTTGTCATTCTACCCTAGTGACATGAGTTTTACACACATACATATTTTTCAACATCATCATCACCTTTACCAAGCAATGCACATATATTCACGATATATTCTCATGCATTCTTTACACACAATCGCACACAATCAATATGCATTCACACTGTCGTGCCAAATAGAAACAACTTCATCACAAGTCATCATGCATTTTTAATTCAATTTAAACAATGCATACATACGCCAAAAGGCCACATTTTAACTCAATTTCACAATCTAGGATTCACGCCATGCAGCTATCCACAACATATATTTCACAGCACATAATTACTCATTCTAACAAGGATCGAACACAATCGAGCCAAGAAATCAACATGGAATGGAATCACAGAGAAAACAAAATGTTGTCACGCTCGCTAGCGTGCTCGCCTAGCGAGTGCTCGCTATCTGTTCGCCTAGCGAACAAGCTCGCGAAGGTAAACAGAAGCTACTGTTTTGCTTCGCTACCCAGCTCGCTCCAGCGAAGTCCTAGCGAACCTTAGCTACCCCATTAGCTACCAGCGAAGATCATCAATTCCATTTTGCCCAAGTCTGGGACCTCTCGCTACAGCTCGCTGCAGCGAACGCTCGCGACCAGCTCGCCTAGCGAACAAGCTAGCGAGTGTCTGCGAACTCAAAACCCTCACTGTCCAACTTTCATAAATCTCCATAAAATCAACCGATTCTTACCGAACCAATTCCCATAACCTTAGTCTAACATCCCTCGACTAAACTACACCACTTATTCTCATTTTTAACCGTTAAAACTCGGTTTCTACCGATTAAATCCACTTTTGCCCTAAAATGGAAGTTGTAGAAAATCATCCAACAATCTAACCCAAGCATACATAACCATATACATTGACAAGATAATGATATTTCACACCCTTACCTTGATTAATTCGATGCTTGAGAGTTGTTCTTGAGCTTTTCCAAGTTTTCCTTCTTCTCCTTCTCTTTTTCTCCTCTTCCTCTTCTTTCTCTATTCTTTCTCTTATGTTTCTATCTTTCTCCTTTATTTCCAATATCCTTATATTTCTTTCTCTTCTAATTCTCTCCAATATTTTCTCTTAAAATATCTACCAATAATTCCAATAATGCAATTAATCCAAATAATTCAATTAATTAACATAAATAATTAATTAATGAAAATTGGGTTGTTACATTAATGATAGGTAATCTACTACTGGTTACATTTTTATGTTGGCTGGAGGTGCGATATCATAGAAGAGTAAAAAGCAAACTCTTTTCGCCTCTTCTGTTATGCAGACATAGTTTGTTACTTGTTATGTTGCTGCCACTCATGCTGTTTGGTTGAGAAATGTACTGACTGGACTTCATATTGTTGATTCCATTATAAAGCCACCAAATCTTTATTATGATAATAGTGCAGTTGTATTCAACTCTAAGAAAAATAAAACTTCTAGTGGTTCTAAGCATTTAAAATTAAAGTATTTGACAGTCAGAGACCTTGTAAAAAAAATGACATTATTGTTGAGTACATTGGTACTTATTTCATGCTAGTTGATCCCTTACCTAAGGACCTTAGTCCCATTGTTTTCAAAAACCATGTTGAAAGTATGGGCATTGTGAGTTCTTTTGATGTACTTGGTTAGTGAGAGTTTGTTCTTTATGTCATTTTCTTATCATGATGTATTTTATTTTGGACACTTTAAGTGTTGGATTTTTTAAGTACTTTCAATTTTAGGCAATTGATATTACAATGAATATTTTTATTATTACTTGTCATTGTTTTTTTATAAGTCAATTGTTAAAATTAGGACTCAGTGTCATTTGGACCACAATTCCTATGGTCGACACTAGTTTGGAGTTCGAGGTATGCTTATAATTTTGAGCTTGATATCTTCGGGACCATTATACCGGTGGTCGATGCCACATTAGAACTGAGGTATGATTTTAAGCTCGGCATTGTCAGGTCCACTATGTCGGTGGTCGACGTCATATTAGATCTGAGACATTATGGTTTGTAAAACCATACAATTTCTTTGGTTTTAATGCATTTAAGAGAAATTGTTAAGGACTGACAAAGAAAATAGCAGTTGGCTGGTGGATCACATTAGCATGTTATTTCCTTGTCACACTCCATACTGATGACTAGTTGATGGAGTACGTAGTATTTGTAACCACATAAAGTTTTATGTCAATGAAGGATATAATAATCTTTGTGATTCAATACTGCTTAACTTAATTTAATTTCTCACTCCCTAACAAACCTTGTTTAGCAAAATCAACTAAAACTCTTCCACTAACATGTCCTAATCTCAAATGCCGTAACTTATATTTATCAAGAAGGTCTTAGATAGCTACTGGTGCATGACCAATAATAGTGGAACAAACCAAAATATACAACCCACACATTTTGGACCCTATAGCCATTATCAATACATCATGCAAAAAAATTCAGCACCCCACATTCAATTTTAGTGCAGTAGCCTAGATCATTAAATATGACTATGGACAATAAAGTTTTCTTAAGTTCAGGAACTTAGCTCACATTGCATAGAAGGACTTCACATTCATCCCACAATTTTCGCCTGACTATACCAAAACCATGAACTTTTCACACTTTATCATTTCCAAGTCGAACGACGTTATTCTTTTCTTAGACACATGTGATAAGACTAACCTGAGTCCATAATCCGACTTTTTCTCTTTTTCTAAACTTGTTACACTAGTGCGCCATCACTTTTATAAGCATCTTCGTCCAAGGCAATCATAATGTAAACATAATCATCATTGTTCTCTCTTTCGAGACAATCCTTCTTAAAATGGCAAATTTTGTGACAAGTGAAACATTTGAACTTTGACTTGGATCTCTTTCCATTTTGGTTTCCTCTATTCTCATGCCTTCCTCTTAAGACACTTAAGTCTTAACCACTATCTTCAACCTTTAAATCTTTCAACTTTGATAAACTTCTTTAATCTTATAGTTGTCTGGACTTCATCCAAAGTGATGGTATCTTCCTTACCAAAAGTATGACATTCTTAAAGTGTTTAATAGATCGAGGTAATGACCCTAACAAGATTAGATCATTGTCCTCATCTTCTATTTTTACCTCAATATTTTGAAAATCATCAACGATCTTGTGAATTCTTCTATATATTCTACGATAAATTTATTCTCCGCCATAGATAAAGAACACAATTATTATTTAAGACACAATCTATGAATTAATGACTTGGTCATATATAATGATTCAAACTTGACCCACATCTCAACCACGGTCTTCTCCCTCGCGACTTCCCTTGATACCTTATCTCTGAGGCACAAGATAATGAAACCTCTAGTCTTATCCAATATCTCAGTCTTCCCAACTCGTGTTAGGCTTGTAGGCATTAATGCCTCTCTTTTCAATGCTTCTAGGAACATTTGCTTAATTAGTATTGCTTGCATATTCACCTTCCATAATCTGAAGTTATTGTTTCTAGAAAACTTCTCAACGTCTCATTTGGAACCCATGATGCTCACTTGTAAACTTAACCTCTTTTCTTCACAATGGGCAAGACTTGTTGAAAAAATAAGTACAAATGATTTTTAACACACCTGTACTTTGAAGTGTGGGACAAAAAACAATGACAACCAACCAAATACATTCAAGCAACTAAAAAAATGCGAGAACATAAAGAAATTGTTTACACAATTTGATCAAATCGGTCTACATTTAGGAAATATGTCAACTCTCTAGTTCATTATATTTCAAAAAATTATCATAAAAGATTACAATATGAGTTATAAGAAAAAAGTCGTTGAAATTTTTAAACAAGCCTTCTATAACTTGTGTTAACAACAAATAAGAGAAAATCATATTTATAACTAAAAAAACTTTAATAGATCTAGATATAACTCATTAGAAAACGGAACCGCAAACCCGTTTAAAAACTAACAATACCAAAAGTATAATTATTTTTATCTTTTTTCAATTGAAACTTTAAGACCTATTAGATTTACAAATTGTTAAAATTTAAAATTAAAATAAATAAATAAATAATCCAATACACATGTACATACTATACCTAACCATAAAGGAGGGGACAATAACAAATACCTTGGTCACGTGCTTGACTATTATTTGCGGAATTTCCTTGTGATTCACTCTACCACATGTGTTGTTTATATACAAGTAAGACTCAATCATTGGCTCAAATTGTTACCTAATGAAGTAAATTCCAACAAAACTTATAAAATGAGAAAAACAAAAACTTTATTATGATGTAAAGTGAAAAGTCTGCAAAAAGAATATCTTAATACACAAGTGATTCAAGTAAGGAGGAGCCCACTTTAAAAATGGTTAGTGTAAACAAATTAAAACACAACTAATAATTTTAGAAATATTTATAATTAAAATCAAATTATTTTTATTATTTACCTATTATATATAATTAATTAACAAACTAAAAAAATTTATAAATTAAATTTTCTATATTTAATTATTGTTTAAAAAGCTCTAAAGCAAGTTGAGTAGCACAGTTTAACCAACTAACAACTCTAACACTAATGACATATACCCACTCCACTATAATTTAATTTAAACTTTATATCTCACATACCAAACTTAGATTAAAAATAATTTATTAATTCCCCACATTAATCATTCTAGCTTGCTTACAAAGACAAATAGGAACCTAAATATAATAACACCAACTGTAGGTTCTCTATTCATTAATCATAGCTAGGATATTATTCTATTCTCTCTCAAACTATAGCATTTGAATTTGCTATATGCAAAGAAATATTTGGGATTTATAAGAAATTATGAGAAATTATATGGAAAGATTTGTTGTTCTTCCTTTCTCTTTGAGGTGTGCTTCACATTCAAGTGTGGAATTAGGTGAACCCAAAGAATCAAAAGAATATTCAAAAGACTCCATTGTTTCAAGTATCTCTCTTTTTCTTTATTCTTTCATTTTTCTTTTCTTAGGTGATTGAACTTCTAAATGTGTAAATTTGAATTATTATTATTATTTTTGCAAGGAAGAAAAGAAGGACAAATAGTTGCAACTAAAATGGAGAAAAAAAGATCTTCTGGATTTTTTGTTCTACCAAAGGCTCATGTAGCTGCTGGCATTCAGAGATTGATCAAGGGTATCAAGAATTTTTCTCAATTATTTTGTGAGTTTATAACAACTTCTATTTTATTTTATTTTATTTGCAAAGTTTTTGTTGTTGGAATTATAAATTGTGGATTACCTGTTTTTGTTTGTAGTTGGATTTTTTTTTTATTTCTTCAAATACCGAATATCAAGTTATGAAGCATATTTAAAAATCAATTTTCTATTATTATTATTATTATTATTATTATTATTATTATTATTATTATTATTATTATTATTATTATTATTATTATTATTATTATTATTATTATTATTATTATTATTATTATTATTATTATTATTATTATTATTATTATTATTATTATTATTATTATTATTATTATTATTATTATTATTATTATTATTATTATTATTATTATTATTATTATTATTATTATTATTATTATTATTATTATTATTATTATTATTATTATTATTATTATTATTATTATTATTATTAAAATGATGTGGCAAATATGTTTTCATAGGTGGACCCTTAACATTTTATTAAGTTGTCATAAAATATTAAAACACTATCCTTTTTATTATTAAAAATTTTGATTTTGTTTATTAGAATTAAAAAAATCATTTTTGAATCTTGTTTGAGAGTTAAGGTGGAATAAATTGGGTTGAGTTAAGTTAAATCTAACTTGTTAAATAATTTAAAATTGTAGTTTAATTTTATTTTTATTGTGTCATAAACTTAGTTTTAGATTTGAGATTGCCCTTTTCAAAATTTTGGTTGGCTTAATAGTTTATTTAAAAATTTATTTTATTTAAATATATATAAATAAAAAATCCAGTTAATATTTAAATAGAATAACAAATTAAAATATATATGTGATTAAATATTTATATATATATATTGATTTATCTAAGCATAGCTAATAATATAAGCTTTTTGAAATTATTTGTTTTAGAGAATTTATGAAAATAATTTATGACATTATTTAAAATATTTTTTTCAACTTTTTTCATAAATTTTTTAAGATATTTAAGCTTTATTTTTTTATTTTAACTTTATTTTAAAAATATAATATAATAATAATAATAATAATAATAATAATAATAATAATAATAATAATAATAATAATAATAAATAAAATTATTCATATTTATTTAAATAAATTAATCATACAAGTTTTAAAAGGTTTTATATGATATGTAGTACAGTCTTTTTAATTAAGATACTTATAAAAAAACCTAATTTTTGTGCTAAAAAAAAAAAACTAATTTGACTTAAATTTGTGTAGGATAAACCATAAGTCTTAAATTGGTATAAGATACCATAGGTTTCTATTGGTTGTTCTAACATATTCTCATTTCTATTGAAAAAAACATAGTAGAGGAAACAACTATTTATTGTTATTATTATATGATTTTGCTAATGTAGACCCTTATCTTTTTAGAATGAGTATTTTATCAAACTATAACTAAAATAGTAAAAAATTCACTCTAAAATTTATCAATATCATTCCACTATCATCACATGCATCTGTTATGTTGCTATAACTCTTCATATTAAATATGTAACACATTTTGAATATTCTCTTGACTTTTGAATTGATATAGTTTACAAAGATCCCATTGAAGAGATAGAGCAAGACATGGAAATTGGGTATCCAACAGATGTGAAGCATGTAACACATATTGGACTTGATGGCTCAACAACCACGAATAATGTTAAGGGTTGGGACAATCTTAAGCCACCTGAATTACTTTCTTTAAATCCAATTACTTTAAAGCAATTTGAATTGGCCATGGCTACTCAAGCTCAACAACCACTTATAGATGATTCTTTTCCAAAATGTGATTAAAAATAGTACTTGTGGGACTCATTATTGTTGCCATTATAATAAGTCTCTTCTAATTGTAGATTAATATTGATCATGCTTGGTAACGATGTATGTGTAAAAATTTACATGGTGCATAAAATTTAATTTCATTAATATTTGTAATTTTTGTGTTTGGACTCTCACTTGTTTTGATTGATTTTTGAAATTACATAGGAGTTTCCTTGTTTTTATCACGCTAAACTAGCATAATACTCGTGCATGATAAAAAATAAATTAAAATTTTGATTGTGATCATGCATAGTAAAGAAATAAATTAAAATTTTGATTTTTATATATTGTATACATTAGTTGAGAACTATAATGGTTTTAGACCAATCAAAGTCGGAAGTTTACTTTAGGTATAAGTCGTATGCAAAAAATTTGTCATTTGTGTTTAGTGATTATTAGCTTATATAAGGTCTTCTTTGTTATGAGTCATTTATAATCAATTTATCCTTTATTATGATACATGCCTCATTGTCTAACTCAAAGCATTAAAAGGGAATCAAGTGTCATGTTTCTTTGTCTGAGACTATCCATTTAAGATTATTTAAAGGTTTATATGTTTGTATACATGTATAAAGGGCATTGTTAAAAAATGTCTAACCTGGCCTAATAAGAGTAACCCGGTTTGATCCTTCCCCGTAAAGGAATTAAGTTGATGTATGTTATGTTACTTAGAGTTTGGATCCGACCCTGATCGTTGAAAAGTACACATTCCCTCGGAGCATGAGGCATGTAGGGGCGAGATGTTTTGAGTGAAAGACCTAAATGTATATATTCCCTCAAACATGATACATGTAGGAACGAGATGCTTTTAGTAAGAGACTATAATGTACAGAATCCTTAAGCATGATGCTTGTATATGAGAGATGTTTTTTTTTTTATGAAGAACCATGATGCATATTATTTCTGATCTATGGGGAATAGATGTCCACCTTTTTATAAGGGGTATCTAAAGTCGCTCTCGACCCTATAGCAATTTTTCCTGCCTCTTGACCTTCCAATTTTTTTAGGGGTTTACCTTTAATTATTACTGGCTGCCTTGGGACTCACATAGAAGTCAGGTCACTATTAACTCTATATCCATAGGCTTCTAATCTTAAGTTTCGCCACTTTTTTGTCTACCACTTACGCCTTTAAGTAGACATTGTCGCTTCCCATTCCAAGTTTGTTCACCATTTTCTTTACACAATTTTTTTGTATTTTGTACTCAAATCTCTTTCCCTTCTCCCCATCACCATTCGCTAGCAATTGTACGTAACATCTCGATCATTTTCTCTTGTTTACTTTAAGTTATGGTTTTTATTTGAGAGTGGGATGCCTTTGGAAAAGTCATGGAACCCCAAAACATTTTAGAAACAATTGAGTTAGGGATTTGATGCTTGAAATCTTCAAAACATAGAATAGAGGAAGTAGAATGAAAATTTTTAGAGAGGGAGATGTTTGTATTTTTCAATAGTTTGTCTAATGATAGTGACACTAATTTGGTGTATTCTTCATCAGGTTCTGTAGAATTCATCACGGTGCTTTCCACCTCTCCTCCAAGTTCCTTCTGTAAAGAGGTTCTGAGTCTAGATTCCCTTTGTCATGAAGATGATTGGGTGAAATCATTTTGAGAGGGGTTGAACATGACCAATATTGATAGCAAAACCACGTCATTTTATAACCATGTATTCAAGATGAAAGGGTTTGCATGCGATAACCCTCCTGGGTGGAAATGAGTTCTTTTATTTCTATATTGATGTATTTGAATAGTTTAGGTTTGAAATCCCTTTTACTCCCTTTAAATTTAACATTCTCCAAATGCTCAATGTCGCCCCTTCTCAGCTACATCCAAATAGTTGAGTGTTTGTCTAGAGTTTTATATCCTTTGTTGGGGTCTCGATCTTACTCCCATGGTTGGGATCTTCTTCTCTTTTCATGAAACGAAAGGTGTATCCTAGGGGTGGGTGGCTCTCAATGAGCTCCAACCTAGGGAAGGCTTTGCTTTCTCCCTATACCTCAACTTAAAAGAATTGGAAGGAAAATTTTGTTAGGGTTAGAGGCAGGGCCCAATGTTATAAAGTTATATTTGAGGATGACAGGTTGTGTAGGTTTCTCTTTTATATGATGTATGGGTCTACCATAATCACGGGTTTTCTTCTAGCAAAACTTAGTGAGACAAATAGGGAGGCGGTAGAATTCTTTAAAAAATTATGCACCATATGGGTGAGGGATTTATTTAGATATGAAATAGACAATCCCATGTTGATGAGTTTTCTAGGTAAGGTGTTCATCTTCTGAAAGTTTTATTGTTTATTTTTAGTCAATCTTTACATAATTACTTTTAGACAATCAGACTTTGTTGACATGTGCATCATAGCAATTTTGTTGGCTTACAAACTCTAATGGCCAAGAAAAGGAAGAATTCAGTTGAGGGGGAAATAGTGAAGGTTGTTCCTTTTAACACTATAATGTATGTTCTTACTGTGGAGGGTTCAAAGTACCTCAAGCAAAAAAAAACAAGGTCGATCCTATAAATATGCTAGTTGATGTGGATGTTGCTACTTCAATTGATTTGGAAGCATTGGCTGTTATGGCAGGTAATGGTGGTTGTCAACATGGATGTTCCTTTTCTTCCTCTAGTGCGAGGAAATTTCACTTTTTGGATCAAATTTTTTATGGGACGGGGTTCCTTTATGACCATCTTAATGCCAATGAGGATGTTGAGAAGAAGAGTTTGACAGGGTGTGGCACCCCAAGATTTATCCATCTCTCCTATTGTGTTTTAGCTTATATTTCATTGCATTTTCATCTTCATTTTTGCATAGTATTATCCTAAGACAATGGGATCAAGGTATCGTGGTTTGTTTCTCAAGAAAGAGGAACATGTTTCTTCAACCTCAAGAAAGGTTTTCTCCTTTCCTTTGCGGCATTCTCAAGCCCCAAAGACCCCTCATCATCAAGTGCGATTCAAGGTAACATCATTTCAAGATCATATGTGGTTCATCATGTCTTAATTTGCAAGAAATTCAAAGTTGGTTCAAGGTGGTTGGCCTAATTTAGCAATTTGTGGATGCTATGATCAAATGAGCATAACATCTTCAATTTTCAACATTTTGAGGTGGTTCTTTTTCTAATGAACTCTTATCATCATCCCCAACAAGTTCCCTTTGCAAGGAAAGATCCAATTATGCTTGGAATGTCATCAAAAGATTGAAGATATTATAGGTCATTTTGAGTTTTGGAAGGATTTTATAGTCAACTTCAAAAGATAATAACTTGGTCAATTTTCATCATTTGGAGCCCATTCTTTTCCTAAAATGAACATGAAGATGTCCTCTACAACTGTGATTTAATGAGGAAGTGCAAAAAACCTATGGAAGGCTTTGAATTTTATCAAAACATTATAGGTCATTTTTGGTCCCTAAAAAGACTTGAAATTTTTCCAAGTGTTTTGTAATTTTGAACCTTTTAATGCAAGCTACTTTGAAGAATTATATCTCTCAACTCATATTTCCAAATCAATACTTTCTTTTCACATTGCAAAGATTTTACCACCCTCTATCTAATGCAAGAAGGATCACCTCATAAATCCTACTACATTGTGAGAACCATGGTGGCAAATTTTGAATTTCAAAGCTGAAATTTCACTTCAAGGCAGAATTGGATTTGGTTGAAATGGCTTCTAATCATCAAATTAATCCATGAATTCTGTCTAAACATGATTAATAAACTTTCTTGGGTTGATTAGAGCATTGAAATGTAAGTTTTGAGTGAGTTTTGATAAGTTTCAAGTCACACTTTGCTCATGATGCAGGTGTGCACGAATTTGCTCCAATTTGCATCATTCACCCTCCCTCAACATTCAAAATACTTCTCCTATAAATAAGGGACTCATTCCACCCATTTCTAGAAGCTTAAATAGCCATAATCGCCCTGCTGAGATCCCATTTGAACTTTTAAGCTTGAACTTCGTATTTTTATTTCCACACCCTAATCATTCAAATTCTCCATTTAGTTAGCTTCACCAACATTCAGTGATGCTAACCAGCCCAAGAACTTGAAGAATCGTGGCCTGAATCAAGCTAGAGGACTCCATTTTCAAAGCTTCAAAGTTGAACTTCAACAGGTACAATTTGTCGCGGTGAAATTTGGATACCAAACTATTGATTAGTTTGAATCTTTAATTCATTTTGCAACCGAACTTTGATTTGTCCAAAGGAAGGGATAAAGATTGAAATTCCCACAATGCAATGCAAATGCAAGCTAGAGAGTTATAGGTTTGGGGGTTGGTTAAACTTAGGGAAGGTGCTAGCATCCTAAGTTTCTGTAGTATTCTACAGGAACCTCTTGTTTTATGTTTGTTTATTGCTAAGTGTTTATCTGCTTAAGGGATTAAAGACCCTAGTGGTTTATATCTAAGTATACTCGATAAGATATCGCATCTTATGCCTACATATCCTTACGGGAGTGGAATCATAGTATTTTGTAGTTCTCCTAAAGGGTTTGAGGATTTCTTTGACTGTGATCAAAGTTTCTACGGGTTTAGGGTAGTTGATTGATTGATTTTAGGAGAAAAGGTGAGTTGTCATTCTAAGGGAGATTTAACCGCCACAAATTGTAGGAAAATAGTCTTTGCATCGTCTTAAGAGAAGGGCTCAAGTACTCAGGTAGGGATCGACGAGGTACGCCTCTATCTCTCTTAAGGCAAAGTTCCTACGGTATTGATTGTATTGATATGTGTCGCGGTGAAATTTGGATACCAAACTATCGATTAGTTTGAATCTTTAATTCATTTTGCAACCGAACTTTGATTTGTCCAAAGGAAAGGATAAAGATCGAAATTCCCACAATGCAATGCAAATGCAAGGCTTAGAGAGTTTTAGGTTCGGGGTCGGTTAAACTTAGGGAAGGTGCTAGCATCCTAAGTTTCTGTAGTACTCTACAGGAACCTCTTGTTTTATGTTGTTTACTGCTATGTGTTTATCTGCTTAATG